GTGCTTATATTTCTTTATATGGTATACAATGTTAGTGGACTGTTTTCAAATAGGACCTACAGAGGTTAATAAAAACGAAGCAGAGAAAAAGACATTTATTTTGAAGGTAATGGGCGGAAGCTGAGGTGGGGTTTTTTGGCTGTTGATGTGAACTGGCTTGCTGCTGCGAGCTGTCTGTCGCTTAATTGTTGCTTCTTCTTACCTAATCTATAATGAATTAGTCCTCTGTTGTAGAAAGGCACTTCAAACTGGCTGTCAGCTTGTGTCGCAGAGGTGTAGTCATCCACCGCTTCACGAAAGTCCACCCGGAGGTACTTTATCTGCCCGCGGTTGTTATAAGCAGTTGCTAAACTGCTTGCTTCACATTCCCTGTTCAAATATAACACAGTTAAAACCCCCTTTTAAAATCATGGCTACAGTTAAATGTGAACATGAGAGAGAGGAAGGGAACTGAAATTAGCTAGCAGTTAGCGACAACGGGTCACAAAATTTAATGTGTAACAGAATGTGTCGTAACACCACCATGTTATAAACGACAACAGCTAGCCTTTAGCGTCTCCAGAATAAAATGACGATACCTGGACTGTAAGCAGGAAGAAATAAACTTTGTGTACAGCTCTTCTGCCATTTTAAAATTCTCCCTTTTAAACTCAGCGTGGGCGTTTTCGAGTATCTGGGAATTATTCTCCTCCATGTGTGCGAAAGGTTTTCTTGTTTTTCACCTGCGGATGTGACGTTGCACTACAAACTGTCCAATCATAGCGTGGTTCACATGTCGGCGTAGATCAGTGAGGGTTCATGGTACTAAACACGAATAAAGTTTTAAAACCTTTATTAGTAAGAAAAAATAAAATAAAAAATCGTTTTTATTGTTTTGAATACTACGAAGCACCATTCTCTATGCTCTTCCTCTTTCCCTCCTGCCTGGCAGCTCCTTATAAAGCCAACATCCTTCATCTAATCTCTATCTTCTATACATGTCCAAACCATCAACTTTGTCTGTCTTGTGCACTAATCATTGCTTTGGACGGTTGATCCAAGGTATAGAAACTCATTTACTTTCGCTGTCTCTACTCTATCATTCACAAACAGGTCTTCTGCTTGACTTTCATTCCTCTTCTTCTTCCCTACTCTCACTACAGATTTGACATCTACAAACAGCATTGTCCACAGAGACTCCTGCCTGACCTCATCTGTCAGCCTGTCCGTCACCACTTTCTGAAGCTTCTCAGAGCATCTCCCTCATGTAATACCACCCCCACCTTGAACCTGTCTGTCCTACTGCACACCCCACCACAGTCTCGCTGTCCTCATACATGTCCTGTACCACTCTGACATATTTATCTGTCACTCCTGAATTCCTCATCTAGTACCGCAGCTCATCTCTTGGCGCCCCATGACATGCTTTCTTTAGAGCCACAAAGCCACAGTGAAGCACCATCTCTGTATGTCTCCATCACATTCTCAAAGCAAACGTTGCATCCGTAGTGCTCTTTCACATTATGAAACCAGCTCACTGATTGTCACCTGTCCTCTTAACATACCTTTAATAATACTTTGCCATGTCTTCATGGTATGGCTCATGTATCCCTCTGTTGTTACTACAGCTCTACACATCATCCCTGTTCTTGAAAACTGGTCCCAGTACACCTTCCTCATTCCTCAGGCATCCGATCGCTCCCAATAATCGCATTAAACAACCTGTTAAAAATCCACTGGTGTGCCATCAGGACCACCTGCCTGTCCCCTTTCCATCCTCTTCATAGATGCCCTCACCCCCTCCTTACTAACCTTTCTCCATCTGTTCTCCTCTCTCTCCCATTTTCTTCATTTAGTTGTCGTAGAAATGCACCTTTCCTATATTATTTTCTTTGCTCATAATAACTACTAAACTACAGCTTTCTCTGTTTTTCTTGATTTTTCATGTGTACACACATTTGTGGAAGAGAGATTATCTTCTTATTGTTTTACTGTGCCTCTCAGGGGGCAAACTATCTACCTGCACCATCACCTAATAACAAGAAGGTCCTGGGTTTGAATCCACCAGCTGGCTGTGTGGAGTTTCCATGTTCTCTGTGTCTCCATGACTTCTCTACAGGAACTCTGGCTTTCTGTAGGTGTGAGTGGTTGTCTGTCTCTATGTATTAGCTCTGCGATAGATTTGAAACCTGTCCTGGATACACCCCGCCTCTTCCGTGATGTCAGCTGGGATAGACTCGAGCCCTAATGTGAACCTAAATTGGATATGTTGTGGAAAATGGATGGATGTTACAGAAGACAAAACACCATGTGAGTGAAAACCAAACTGTGCTTTCTTTTTCTAACAGCAGGTGTCAGACTCAACTTAGATTTGATTTAAAAAGTAAATGATGCAGTTAGTGCAAATAATATTGATTATATCTATAAAAAGCATCTGAGTAGGAAATCCAACAAGAGGCTTCATATCTTTAAAGACGTTTTTTTTTATATTTTAAAGAAAAAAACTGCTTATTAATCACCCCAAACACCAGTAACAAGACAATGGGAACTCTCACTGCAGTGAACAACAAGAAGGGAATTCTGTAAGGAAGAATGTCCAGGGTGAAGAAGTCAACTGTCCCGCTGAAAACAAATTACACCCTAAGAGCTAAAGGTCATTCAGAGGCTGTGCACTTCCCTTTTACAGCCCATTTATCTCCAGACTGTGTGGACGAGTTGAAACGGATCAAACAGAAACAGTTTGGACCAGAGGAAGGGCATGTAGGCCACTGTCTGTTGACACTACTGAGAAAACGGATATAATATACTAATTTTCACGTCAGTGTGACTGTAAATTATTACATGACAGGAATCCAAGAGGAAGAAGTTGGCTTTGCGGTTATGTGTTAAATTGTCACATTTTATTTAAGATTTAACCGTTTTATTTCGACGGCGATATCATGAAGAAAACATAATGTTCAGAAATCTCAGCACCGCCGAGTCTCATCACCCAAAATGTTGCTGTTTGCTGAGAGAATTAACACAAAACATCCAAGATCACTGTGAACTGACAGAACCAGGAAAGACACACCTTCAATAAGAGGGTCCTATTGAAGGTGAACTACAGCACAGAGTCACTCTGAAGGTAAAACATATGTGCCATTCGTACATATAGCTGTCTACACTTTTATGAGTATTTTGGCAGATTTTTAAATTGAGTAGAAATGAATGCAACCGTGGCAACAAACAACATAAAAATAAACCTTTCTGTGCGTGCATCATACAACACAAACATGATATAGAAATGTAGATTTAAAATAAATTGTCTGATGAAAAACGCTGACAATGTGGAGCTCGTGTGAAGTGCAACTGATGTAAAACTCTCAGTCTGCACTGTGATACATTCAGATACATCGATCGCAATTACAGAACAGACTGTTTATCATGAGATTTGGCTGTTACACAAGTCAAAGTCCATTTTTTATGTTATTGCTCTAATGACAAAACAGTTATTGTCTGGATTAGTGATTACAAGAGGCTGAGGCTGATCCATGAGGCTGATTTGATTTCTGGAGCCTGAGACAGATGGCAAATTTTTTCGGTCATGAAAATTATGGTCATTTTCACTTCTCTTCCTGTTTCCAGGTTTTATACTAAGCTGTTTAATATTTAGTGTGTAGACATGAGAGTGGCCTCACACTTCCCTTCCCAAAATAAAAACCTAGCAGGGAGTTCACTGCTTTGCACCTCTGACGAGCACATATGGTTACTTTAAACCATCCCCAGCTTAACACTTGTGAGAAACGGTAAACGGTTTATTATAAGGAGACACGAGAAAAGCATTTCAATGAGGACATGTGCAGCTGTTAAAGTAACAGAGTAATCAATGAATGTAAGCAGAGGATTCTGCTATTTAAACCTCCTGAAGAGACATCCGTTGTAGTGTCTTTTCCTTTTCTTGGTTGCATGTGAGTCCCATTCATCTTTTCCCCCCCGAAACACTGGTGGGCTCACCTCTGTGTGCCTGTGTGTGTGTGTGTGTGTGTGTGGTGTGTGTGTGTGTGTGTGGGGTGGGTAACTATGAACTGAAATACCAAACAAACCAAAAACAGCTGTCTGCTTAAAGAAGGGAGGGAGAGGATCCAGAGCAGACCTGAGGTAAACGTTGGCATGTTGACTCACACAGACAGCGCAGACAGAGAAGCTCTGTTGTCTGTGCTGCAGAGTCATTCCAGAGGTGACACGGTAACCTCTGTCTGTTGTTTTTCTGGCACCAGCCAAAGCGTAAAAGATAGCAGGGTACAAAACCAGAAAGTTTTCAACTCAGAGCAGTCAGAGAAGTAAACTGTAGACTTTAATCCTGCTATATGTTATGTTACTATCAAAGATGTTTCTGAGTGAAAAAAAAATAGAGGTTTAAAAACTAATTTCCCCCTGACCCCACACATCTTTACCGTTCTGTGAAGCCAAACAGTGTTACAGCGCACTGTAAACAGAAATGTTAGCGCTTTACCTTCATATTTGCCTTTCTAAGTTGACATAGAAATATGTGTATGCCATAAAAATGTACAGTTATGTAAGAGACTCTTTTGTATCTACATGTTTTCCCAAATACCTTCAAGTTTTTGAAGATAGATGTTCATTGAGAGGACTTGGAATGAATTTTAGAAGAGTTACAGAGACAGTTTGATACATTTAATTTTAATTTTGATTTTTAATCATTGAGCGCCAGGCTTCATTTACAGTAATCTTTTTGGGTAAGCAGTGAGCAGTGAGGCTTAAACAGACATGTTTAATTAAGATACCTGCTTTCAAAGAAATTCTGGGTTTTTTTGGTAACATTTGTGTTCATTTTCCTACATCTAGCATATTTCCTCCATACAGTAACATCTACAAAAGACTAAAACTAACATTAAAACCAATGAAACTAATCATTTCCAAACAATAAAAGCTTCGCTTAAACAAGGAAAAATACACTGAAAAGTAAATACAATTAAACTAAACTAAAAAAAAAATATTACAAAAACTGTAACAATTCTGGAATGCAGAGTTATAATCCTAAATATTTTCACAAAATAAATGCCATCTTTCAGTCAATCAGCTAGAATTTTACTACTTAAAGAATTTACTATAACGCTGTTACATCTTTAGATAGTAATTGTATTTTTTTAAATATGTATTTTATAGAGTGCATCATGTAATATTATTTCAAAAATAATACAACAACAAATGTACAAATATGAGATTAGATTTTAATGGAATTTTTTACTATATATATGGTATGATACATGTTTGTGTCACCACCTGATAAATGGGAAAATATTCATTATTCCGTATTTTTAGTTGAATTCAAGTTGCACATTTATTAAGGCTACGTGTAATTCAGCACCAGGCTAATATATACAATATTCATTTATACAAAATAGAAAAAAAAGATTAAAGAAATGTTAGATTACTATATATTTTAATATGCTCCTGGGGGTTTAGTTTAAGTAACATTTACAGTAGATTTGGGGGGAAAAAAATCATCAATAAAAAGTTAAAATAAAGTTTATTTGTAGACATTGTTGCTCAGCAGTCAGTAACCTGGGGGGTTGATTTGTGAGTCATTGCTTCTCTCAGTCTGTGGTTGAAGTTAGAGTGGATCGCAGGAAGTTCCTCCCCATGATGCAGTAGTCTGTGGGAGCAACAAAAGTCATCTGGCTCTGCGGAATATAAATAATCAGGAGGTCAGATTGCTCCCAGTGGGTGGGAACCTTTTACTACCAATCATGGAGGAAAAAGCCGCTGACTCTTACTTACGTGCAAAGTTTCAGGCACGGCCCACCGTGTTCTCAAGACGCTCTATTCTCCCAGTCACGTCAGCAAGTTTGAGGAGTCAAGGACTTTTTTTTTTACAATTATACAATGGAGCAATAACACCAGTAACAATAATAACACGAAGAAACCATCAGCTGTCAGCTGCAGAGACTGTTTATAATAAACTGTCATCCATCTGAAACAACAGACTGGATATGCTTGGCTGCGAGCTGTTGGATGGCTGCCTGCGTCTGCTTCTGGAAAGCCAGTCTAGCCTCGCATTTGCAGGGATCCTCCACCACCTCGACCTTCACCTCTTTGCCGGGAGAAAGCAAATTTCACATCAGGGTAACAGATCACGCAGAGAGTGAAAAAGCACACAGAGCACCACCCACGCCACTTTCCCCCACTAGACTGCTGATGGAGAACAAAACAAAGCTTAAATGAATGGAAGCTTTTTAAGGCAGAAAAGTACCAATTTCATGTAAACTGTCCAAAAAAACAAAACCATCTGCTACAGATTCAGGATTTTTGTAGTGTTATGAAGCCCTGATCAGAATCCAAGCTGGGTATCTACACGTCTTTAAACTGTTGAGGAGCATTAGTATGACACCAAAGAGCTGCAGGAATCCACACAGTATGATCTTACGTTTCAGGGAACATGTTTTCTTGTCCGCATTCAAGATATAACCTTTCCGGCACTTGCAGTAATACGAGGCGTTGCTGTTGACACAAATGTGTTCGCAGTCGTGTCCCATGGAGCAGGGGTCCACACCTAGAATAAGCCAGGATTAAGGGATGGCAGCATGGGTACAGTTTTTTGCGTGCAAGCAAGGTGGGTAGCTTGTGAAACGTAAGACTATGCTAAAAAAAGATAGAAGCTATTTTTTACTTCACATTTTGGAATTTTATGATTTTTTTCTGCATGCACGAGTTAAAAAAGTATGACTGGAAACTTTTCGAAGATATTTGTAGTTGACCACACATGTGGCGGAAACACCTTCACCGCATCTGTGAACTGCTGTGTGTTGGACAACTGAGGTAACATAACAAAGCACATCAGTTTGGACAGTTAACGAACAGACGCACACAAATTCACACATATGGAGAAACAATACAGCAAAACATCCATTTCAAACCTTCAACATCTGTCTTTTAGCACACGAATGTAATTGAAGAGCAGTCACACAAGTTAGCAAACTGTTTTTGATAGTTGATCATTGTGTCTGATAAATTTACTTTGAAAATTCGATGTTTCTTATGTTTCAAAAAGAATAAAATCAGCTTATATGGATGGATTTCACTTATCATGTTATGTTCATCTGAATGCTTTCTAATCAGTTTTCCAAATGTTTAAAAGTTTTGTAGAGAGGTTTTACTCTACGTTTTAATTATTTTCAACACAGACTAGAGATGGCACGATACCACTTTTTTATGTCCGATACCGATACCGATATCATAAATTTGGATATCTGCCGATACCGATATGAATCCGATATAGTGTTTTTTAATCAACAAAACTGTTTTTTAAATATCTTGCTGCATTTTGTATAAGTTCATACTCAAGTTTAAAACAACAACTACACTAAAGCTATTCTGTTATACCTGTATGCAAAAAAAAATATTTCATAGTTCAGCAATACTGATCAATCTAATAAACTTAAACCTACACCATCCTCCCTATTCTGGTATTTTAAAGAGTACTTAGCATATATATTAAGCAACCTAACTAATAGAGTTCCAACTCCCAGCAACAATAAAAATAAATAAATAAAAAATAGGGAACCACCCTCACGCTCCACCTCATGATGCTTAATCGACGTAATCAACCTTAATTTGATGCAGTGTGAAAAAAAAATGCACAGAAATAAGTTATTTCTCAAGAAATATTAAATAGATTCAACATCTTTCTTCAACAAAATTGCAGACTGCACAGATGGTACCTTCCCAAAGGAAAAAGTACTATAGCTTACTAGGGTATATATATTAGACTTAATAGTTACTATATACAGTAATTGACTTCTATTCATTTTACATCAAATTAAAACTTTGGGTGTCAGATAATTATTTATTAAAAGCGAGACATTTTAAATGAGAATAAGAAAGAAAAGTATGTCTTTGTGCCCCCTTTTCCCTGTTCATGCCCTATCGGCCCCCCTGGCTAAACTTTGCTAGATCCGCCCCTGCACAGTTACCAGCGTCAGCTACATAGAAAAAGCTCCTGGTGTACAAAGTAATATTAAATACATTCTAGCAACAGCTTATCAAGCTTAAACGTGCTGCTGTTGTTCAGCCGCTGGTTTCCTCTTTCTGGTGCAAAGTGGGCCAAAAGCAAACTAGAGTCACGGACTCGTGACAGAAAAGCCGATCAGCTGATCGTTAAGCAGTTTCATGATTGAAGTAGCAGCAGGAGAGGCAGTCGTTTGTTAAGCTTAACGCAGGAATGCTTTACAAACATTCAGAGATGGACTTACACACTTGCTTTACTTCTCTCGGGATAACTTTATCGGAGATGAAATGCCGGGTTGCTAGCGAAGCTCCACATGCTATCCAGACCACCGACAGGTCCGCATGCCACAGCCGCTCTATCACATGATGCATACTGCTCCAACGTGCTAACGTTCTGAGGTGAGTTACGGGGTGTTGCAAGTTTTGTGAGGTGCTTTCGTGATATTTAATGGATCGGATTACATTTTTTATTTTTCTCCGATATCCGATCCAGTAATTTAGGTCAGTATCGGACCGATACCGATACGTAATATCGGATCGGTCCATCTCTAACACAGACTAAGGAAAAATTCAGAGAACCGGGACGCTTTGATTGCAAAAATAATCAATCTATGATCACCATATAAACGTTTCGCTTTTTAAAGAGAAGCTGACAGTCTTAAGACTTTCCGTGGGTTTAAATTGGCGACTACAAGCACATTCTAGAGCCGACATCTGCAGTCCATACGGGGGCTGAGACCATCTGTTCTAATACTTTTTTCACATTTTTACCAATAACTGTCAATGACCCATAAAAGCCTCCCCCAGACTTAATGATGGAAAAAGGTCTTGCAGGCCGGCTTTGTCCTACCACACAGGGTCTCTCTGAACTTGGACGTGAGCTTCTCGATGACGCCGTAGGTCTCCACGTAGAAGACGTGGTCCTCCAGAGGGGTGCTGGCCATCAGCTGAAGGGATCGCATGTCTGCACGGTCCACCCCGACAGCGTAGATCTCGATACCCTTTCCCCGGGCTGCAGCAGACACTTCTTCCACCTGGTCTTGAGGTCTCCCGTCTGTCACGATGATGGCCACCTTGGAGATATTCCTAGAACGAGGCCGGGCTCCAGACTGCTCGGTGAAAGCTTCATTCGCTGCAGTTTTGATGGCGAGGCCGGTCATGGTGCCAGTCGCCAAAGGCTCAATGCGGGAGATGGCTTTCTTCAAGTCTAGTTTGCTAAAATAGTCTTTGAGCAGGAACTCTGTCTTGACCGTGCTGGCGTAGTTGACCACAGCCACCCTGGTGGAATCTGAGCCCACTTCAAGGGTGTCGACTATGTTGGCCAGAAAGATTTTAACCTTCTCAAACTCTCCTCGACGCACGCTGCGAGAGCTGTCAATGATGAAGACCAGGTCCAGGGAACGGCTTCTGCACTGAGAGTCTGTCTCTGTGATCAAACCATGGCAGGATTAAATCGATATAATACAAAAAAAATTCAGTTCGTTATTCAGACAAACATTTGTACTTTCTCTGAGGTCATTATGTAGTTATTCATCCACAAAAGAAGAAAGAATACTTTGGGATGCACTCAATGAAACAATTGAGCATCGCCGCGGTGGTTCCTCTAAAATGATATTGTATGCTATTTTACATACTATGCATCATTTCAGGGATTCAACAGTCCATCAGAGACATGCTTTATCCTTTCATGTCATTTTCCTGAATGAAAAGGATGCCCAACACATGAAAAATGGCATGTCAATGGCAGTTAGAATCCCTGCCAGTCCAGTTTTACACACATACATTAAACTAGATCATTTCTGGAGTGTTTACCTCTTTACATAAACATCACTGATGAAATGGAACTAAAATATCTGACCTGAAAAAAGAGCATTGGTTGGTTTGGAAAGCAAACCTAACTGGTAATATTCTACCTGTCGGCACAGGACTGACGGTGGTGATGAAGCCGCTTTGGGTACTGACCGGTAGCGTCACAGGAGTGGTGGTCTTCCCTGGCGGCACAGCGGTCACCGGTGGCACTGTACTCGCTGGCAGGGTTGGTAGAATTGCCGGTTCTGGTTCAGTTGGAGGGCGTACCACAGGTGAGGGACAGAGACCTTTCACTTTGTAAGGGAACGGGTCTTTGATCCCATGTTGGGGATGACGAACCAGTGGTGGTGAGAGAGCTTTGTGTATGTGATGCATATGTGGGCCTTTGAATGTGTGGTGAAAAGGTGATATAGGGACTGGGGGTCTGTGGTAAGTCACTGGTGGAGATAGAGGAAAGGGGTGATACACTACCGGTGGAGGGATCCTTGGTGGCTGGTAGTGGTAGTGATACCTTTCTCTATACGTGTAGTCACTTCTGTGAACTACGAGGCCACCAGAAAGGAAAAGTGATGAGAACATTAGTAGGTTGGTAGAAGGTAAACAGGAAAGTTGTGTAAGTTGACATTGTGTAGTAAGTAAAACATACTGTGCAATAATCTCTTTTGTTTACTTTGGATCACAGACAAATTATTAGTATGTGCATTCAGCCATCCGGGCTGTTTCAGACAAGCCTCTACTATAGTCTGCACAGAGCTTGTGAAACCCCCAGCCAAGATCTGAGAATTCATGCAGGATGTGTTTGAGAAGAGTGTAAAATTTATTTGTTAGAATGAATTTTTATGAATGAAATATCTGTAATATTAAAAATGAATGATTTTTACTACAAAAAAATGTGCATTAATCTTTTGTGGAAAAAAGCAAAATAATACTGCTAGAAAGGAGCGGTGGACAAAGTATGCTCACTCAAGTATCTTGTACTTTGTCAACTCCACTAAACTTGGGAGTCAAATTCTAGTTGCTCTGCTCTCTGATATTTTAAATGTCTTACATGTTTGTAAGCTGCTGTATTTCTTTTCCTAGCCTACCTATTCCACCACTGCTAGACTTTTGTGTAAAACCAGAATACTAAAAATTAAAGACTTACTTGCTGGATTCAGGGTCCTGAGCGGTGGGTGCCCATTATTTCTGGTTTGAGCGTAACTCTGAGCAGCCATTAGCTCGGGATCCCCTGCCATGAGGTGGTATGTGCCCTGTACATCAGACAGCAGGGGTGCAGCGCAGTACAGGAGGATCCAGTGAAAAGCCTTCATCCTTTCAGTGTGCAGAGCGCCTTCTGTGGTCTGACCTCTCTGAACACTTTGTCTGTGAGGATCAGGGGGTCAAACCGCCACTGAGTAGGAGGAGACCTGAGTGAGACACGTCAAACTGTCTGCCCCAAAAAGGTGGGTCATGAACTTCAGGAGGTGTATAGAAGAGCCAAAAATGTTTCTTTGTTCTTACTTTTTCAATGTTTTGCAACAGTGCTGCAAATATGCAAATCTTGTTTTAGCATAATGAAAAACATTTGGGACAATAAAGTGGTAAATATGTGATTTTGTTGATCTAAACATGCTGTCTGAAATACACTCTACCAACAAAGTCCAGAGTTTGAATAACTTACTATAAAACCTGTGGAGCTATAGACAATAACACATTAGCTTAAAAAATTCTGAAGAATTACTGTTTAAGACCACTTTCAAAAATTAAAAGAAAGTCTGGCTACTTGGAAACAAAATAAACAAATAAGGGTTGGGTTGAGGACGTCCCTAAACACTGTATTACTACCTGCTGACACTAGATGGCGTATGAGTATTATCAATCACCAGCATATGAGTCTATGAGACCATGTGGTTGTTTTTTTTGTCCTTAACGCTATTTCAAGACTTGTAGTGAGAGCTCCTTTTTAATATCTCTCGATTTTCCTTCAGTTTATTTATGATGAGAAAAAAAGACGAGAACTAAGATGTAATAGTTTTGAAAGGTTTATTGAAGTCAAATGTATTTCTACTAGGATAAATCATATGACCAATATAGGAACGAGGGTAAGGTTTGCCGATAAGCATGCAACAACTAATTTTCACAAGACTAGCCGTTTTCTACAGGTACCAGGTAAAAGTTAAAAAGAAAAAGCAGAGAAAATGATCCACCATCAGTGCCCTCTGCCCCCACACGTTTATCTTAGCTGGAACACAGTTTACTACCTTAGCCAACACATAGGGGCAGCAGAGAGTGGTGATGATGTCTAAGGTGGGGGTAAAACTTAATTACAGTGAAGCTAAATAAATAACAGACAAAAAATGCTACAGACTCCATTCAAGACTGAGATAGAATCATTTACTTCTTAATGATTGAGGGGAAAACTGTAACACAATGCAACAATAAGTGCTATAGTAAGTGGATTGTCAGTTTGTTTTTCTTTTAAACTTCATATATCAATCTATTAATGGGATGTGCTGGATTGATAAGAGCATTTCAAGCAGTTTAACTTTCACATATATCCCTTTTACTAAGACAACAAAAAAAATGTTGGCAGAAGATGGGGTGGGACAGGGATACACTTGTGCCTCTTTTTAAACACATTCATTCATTCATTTTCAGTCATGCTCTCATTTGCCACCTTTCTCCTCTCATCTCCAGAACGCTCTATAGACACTATAGAAATACAGCGGCTGAGGGCAGGTGGGAGGGTTGAACTAAACATCTTCAGGGGTCTTACACTTACACAACAGGTCAGAGGGGTCGGGGATCAGGTGAGGGCAAGAAGGAATGCATATGATGGCTGTGTGTGCGTGTGTGTTTTGGCAACAGGGCTGGTGTTTAGGCTGGCATGTAAGGAGGAGGCGGCTCCTTCTCTGGCATCTTCATGGCCATCTCGTAAGTAGGCAAGATGTACTAAAGAAGAGAGAGAAACATTTAAAGAGTAGTGAGGGCTCATTGTACAGGGAGGGGGAAAAAAGACAACATGAAACCAAAAACCCAACCAAGCATGTCTCTGAAAAAAGGAATTGAGAGTCATGTTCTGTGACTCTCAGTTCCTTTGTTGAATTCAACATCAATAAATGAAATTAAGCTGCGATGACATCAGAACTCTGGCCCATCTGCAGTATTCAGAACATTCTGAGCAGAGCAGCATCAGTGAAGTTAAAATTAGTTTGAAATTATTCTGAAACTCGATTAAAAATAAAGGAAAATGCACAAAGTGAATCGGAGCTTTTTAAATGTGAATGCTGGCAACTTCTGTTTGTCTACAGACACATTTTCAGTCTAATAACTGAGAAGATAACCGGCAAACTAAATCATTTATATTGTCGATTTTAGCCTGAGTTATGAATTAATTTTACCATAGTAGAAGCATGTTTTAGTGCAACCTAAATAATAACTACCGGTAATATTAAATGTTTCTTTAAAGATGGCGTAAAGAATATCTGGAGTGAGACTATCCTCTCAGCAGGTCAGCTTTCAGTGTGGAGACACCGTGTCGCCTGCTGCCTCAACTACAGCATCACGGTGCCAGTGCCTCAATACTTTCTGTTCATAGATGCTGAGGTGGCTTGCATACCTGGGGAGGGGTTTCAAAGGCAGGGTACACAGCGATTTCTGGCATGTTCCTGTTGTTAATATACTTGTAGCAGTTCCACACACAGTTGATCAAATAAGCCTGGAAAGCAGAGGGAAAAATATTTGTATCGTTACAGTCGACAGCTTCCTGTCTCCTCCTCCTAAATGAACACATATGCCAAAACCAAACAAACATCCTAATATAACTGTGTCTGACTGTGAATAATTGATAGATTCACCTTGAGGATGATGAGGAAGGCAAAGAAGACCAGCACAACGAGCAGCAGGCAGCTGGAGTTCATATAGAGGAGGTTATCCTTGTATGGGAAATCCGGCTGAGGAGGAAAAGGAGACAAAATGTTGATTCTTACTCACTTTACTGTCAGCATTTCCACACTCGAAATGTAAAAAGACTACTATCGTTTTCTTTTTTTTCTTCTGGAAGCATCCTTACTGAAAGAATAACAATGAGCTCATCTGTTTTCTTACATTTTTTTTCCCTCTAGGAAATAATCTCTGTACGTGTAGAGATAAATCGTATGGTAAAATCAGAATTCTCTCTCTTATTATCGTTAGAAGCATGAAAAGCTTAGGTTGTGGATACGGCGACTGTTGACTGTTGCTTCATTGGTCATGGCTGCATCTGAAAGGACTCCCTATAAATACTGACTGTTTAGTAATTGAGTGTTTGATGTATAAATGTGCACATTTACTCAGTTTTATTTATATAGCACTAAATCACAAAAACAGATGCCTCAAGGCACTTTATATGGTAAGGTAAAGACGCTACAATAATGGAGAGAAAATCGAACAACGCTCTTTGAAGAGGCACTTGGCGACAGTGGGGAGGAAAACTCCCTCCCCTCATGGAGCGACAGCCATCTGCCGCGACCGGTTGGGGGTGATGGGAGGAAGACAGGTTAAAAGACAGACTGTGGAAGAGAGCCAGTTACATTTATACGCTGTAGTGTCCATGAGACTTCCAGTGTGACACAAAAGTACACTACCTCCTTAACAACCTTTGCATTTATGCAACAGCACTTATGGAAAATGTTGACTAATAAGTGTCCGAAATCTCAGTTTCCAACTGGGCATGGTGTGAATCACTAAATCTTTAGAGAGAGCAAAGAGGGCGATACTGGATGAGGGCCAAGTGAGAAGTTGTAAAGATACTGTCATGGAAAGGGTGTAGTCAGATTGAGATATTGTGAAAAATAACATCGGACTTTGAACTGACCAGCTGGTCCAGGTAGTCTCTGATCCTGGGTAGGTACGTGAGAGAACTGATGGCCACCAGGCAGCTCAGAGCAAAGTCAAACAGCTGGTAGCAGAAAAATGGGATGAGCCAGCCCTCACGGTGCTAAAAAAAAAAAAAAAAAAAAAAAAAAAAAAAGAAAAAAAAGAAAGAAAGATGATTAAAAGAATGAATCACTTGGGCAGATCTTTTATAATTTTGGAAGAACTATAGTGCAGATTCAAACCTTATCTCTAAACACTTGTCTTAGTTAAGATAAACCCTAAACATATTAATGTTATTTAGATCTACAAATCTTACAGCTATGGGTGCACTACTCATTTCTTAAGAAGTCTTCTTCCAAGTTCTAAACGTAACGATTCTGAGATTTTCCACTGCTCAGATTGAAATATCAGATGTGCTTTGAGGTAAACAAACAGCTAACAATAAGCACCCATGGATATAAACAGGCATTATCATAAATATATACAGAGAAGGTTTAAATCAGCAAAACAGTCCTTTCTGATACATTTTCTTTCTACCAAAGCACAGTGTACTCAGGTTCTGACGAAAATCTTCTTCACTGCTAACATTAAGTAGGAATTTGGATTTGGTACACTATAATTAAATACTTATTACAATGGGGAGGGTGGAATCTAAAAGGGGTACCTGGTATACTACAGTGGAAAAGGGTATCTGCCACATTTGTCTCTGGGTTTCTACCTGCACAGTAACCAGCATGCACAGTATACCCAGCCTGCAGATGGGTGTCATACTTTTAACTGTGCAGTCATCCATACTAGCAGCTAAATACAGGTCCACGTCAAAACGCTATCAAACCTGTCAGTCTTGATGCCATCAGGCAAGCCTGTGAGGTAAAGACGACAGGCAATAAGATCACAGTATTGTGTGCTTCAGCCCCATGACATCAGGGTTATTTGGCATGTTTTTCTCCTTTGGTTACCTCTTATCCTGCTTCTTTTTCTTTCACACTTTTAAACACGACATTTGGGATTACATTTTTGCATTAAAAAACAAAAAACAAAAAAAACAAACCACGACAACACTTTAAATATATTACACGCTGTCAAAGAGATTTAAAAAGAAAAAAAATTTATTTACAGTGCACACTTACAGTAATAGCTCCGTACACCATCATGGCACTGATAGTGAGCATCAAGAGAGAGATGGCAAATCCAACACAGGCATTTTCTGTATGAGAAAAAGACAGAAGGAATACACTGAATGAATACAGTTAAAGATTTTACTACATTTTACTACAGCACTGGCTTTATTGTTAAACATTTTGCCTGTGGTCTTTGAGGCAGCTGCATTCAGTGTTAAGTGAACAGTCTCCAGGGATTCTCTCTTTCCAGCTCACTCCATTTTAAAGGCCAGCTCTGGGGAGCATTAAGCCTCTCGCTTTCAGTCAGTAAAGACGTAATGAAACTCAGTCTGGGATAATTAAAAGGTCTGCCTTTCATATCCTCCTCTC